TGGTGAAAGGACCAGCATTGTTAGGAGGTGACACCCTGGAAGTTGTGGCCTTTTCCCTTCTCTACCTCCACCCCTTACCCTGTGCATCTCCATCTGCTGTTCCTTGTTTACATCCTTTGTAATAAGCCAGTTAAGAATAAGTACTGCAAGCTGGGTGTGGTGGCACACAGCTTTAATCCCAGCACTCTGGAGGCAGAGGCAGGCAAATCTCTGTGAATTCAAGGCCAGCCTGGTCTACATAGCGAATTCCAGGCCAGCTGGGGCTACAAAAAAGACCCCCCCCCAAAAAAAAGAATAAGTACTGCTTCCTGAATTCTCAGCATTCTAGCAGATGATGGAATCCAAAGAGGGTTGCAGGGTCTCCCAGTTTACAGTGGGTCAAGCTTGTACCTTGCCTGTGAAGCTGGGGGTGGATGGGTCATGGGACAGATCCTTAGGTTTGTGGAGTCTGCACCAACTCCAGGTTGGTAAGTGCCAGAACTGAATTCCTGGCTATCTGCTTGGTGTCTGCAGAGTTGGAGAAATGCTTGAGACTAAAGGGTTGCATGAGCAGAAAAATGAGTTTCTTTTAGGTGCAGCAAGTAGTTTTAACTACAATGACTTAAATGAGGTGTAGAACCCTTCACTGAAAACAAAGGCAAACATTATTCCAGATGAAAAATTTCTGTATGAAGCTCAGGAGCTAAATCAGTACTTTATTATAGGTGTGATTTAACACTCTTTAAGGTTTTAGCAAATGCAATAACAAAAGGAATTACTAGTATGACTCTAGTTGAGTGCCAAATGGCAATGTTTTGGTCAGTTATGCAGCAGTGGTCTCATAAGAGCAGAAGAGAGCTGAAAAATTCCTATAGCCGGTGGTACCATAGCTGCCATAACGTGTTTGTGATGCTGGTGTAAACAAGCCCCCCATGCTGCCAGTGCACAAAAGTCAAGCCTGTACCATCACATGCAGTACATGATACTTGATAATAAACAACTGTGTTATCAGCTTATGCATTTATTATACTCTTTATTGTTATTTTAGAATATATTCCTACTCGTATAAGAAGTTTGCTATTGGCGTGGTGGTGCCCACCTTTAATCCCAGCACTTGGGAGGCAGAGGCAGGCAGATCTCTGTGAGTTTGAGGCCAGCTTGGTATACACAGTGAATTCTAGGCCAGCCAAGGCTATGTAGTGACACCCCCATCTCAAAAAAAAATGCTGTAAGATGGGCTGAATTACACCGGAGCAGCCTTTTACATGCTTGTGTTCACTGTGTCTCATAACTGCATTATTTTTCTCTTATACTTGATTTAATCTCAAGTTGATTTGTTCATTGCAGCCCTTGGAACAGATGTATTACATGTGTGTGTCCTATATAACCTAGATGCTCAGTAGGCTCTGATATCTGTTATCCTCACATAATCATGAAATAACCTAAGGATATAATTCTCAGCATGTATCCCCACTGATAAATTGTGCTTGACTATTGAAAAATAAGAGATGAGTTGGGGAGATAGCTCAGTTGATAAAGTGCTTGCTGCACAAGCATGATGACCTCAGCTCGGATCCTCAGCACCCATGTAAAGACCAGAGGCAGCAGTGTGCATTTGTAACCTCAGTGCTGGGGGGCAGAAGTAAACGGATTCCTGGAGCTCAGTGGCCAACCAGCCCAGCCAAATCCATAAGCCCCAAATTTAGTGAGAGAAACTCTCAAGAAAATAAGGTAGAGGCCTTAGTGGGTAAAGGTACATGCCGCCAAGTCTGACAAACCAAGTTCAATCCCTGGGACCCATTCATGTACCTTGGCATACACACCACACCACACATACACACACACACAGAGGGTGTGATCAGCGGTTAAGAGCACATACTGCTCTGGCAGAGGACCCAAGTTTGATTCCCAGCACCCTCATTAGGTGACTCACAACCAACTGTAACTCCAGCTCCAGGGGGATCTAATCCCTCTGGACTCTGAGGGCATCAGCACTCATGTGCACCTACCTATATAGAGATGCACACATACACATAATTTTAAAAAACTGTTAAAAGTATGTAATAAAAAGTGATAAGGTGGAGAGCTTATGAGATGACTCAGCAGTTAAAGATGCTTCCCTTGCATGCCTATGGCCTGAATTTAAAACTTGGAACCCATATAACGGTAGAAGAGAGAACTGACTCCACAAAATTGTCCTCTGAACTCCATACATGACATAACATGTATGCCTATACACACATCTCACGTACACTAATAATAAATGAAAACTTGAAAATAAAAAAGTAGATTGAGGAAAAACATCTGATTTCAACTTCTGATCTCCACATGCACACACACGTAAGGCACTTGTGTGCCTCTCCACACGAACACGTACATACACCACACACATATAATAAATACATAGATAAATAAGAAGTTTTTTAAAAAATAAAATGGAGGCAGAGGCAGGTGGATTTTTGTGAATTTGAGGCCAGCCTGGTCTATATAGTAAATTATAGGCCTGCTAGGGCTACATAGTGAGACCCTGGACCCCCCCCCCAAATATCAGTCAATCAATCAATCAATCAGTCAGTCAGTCAGTCAATCAGTCAGTCAGTTAGTCAATCAATCAAACAACAAAGAACTCTGAATTGGTGAAATTTTTAAAAATATTTTATTTATTATTTTTATTTTTATGTATATGAGTGTATTGCCTGAATGTATATGAA